CTAATTCTCTATCTCTTTTTCCTCAGCTAAACCATTTTTTTTCTTTTGTAATTGTTACTTTACTTGTAATACATTGCATTGTAATTCAGTTTAAGGGAATGAATGTGTTAATTTTGGTTGGCGATTAATTGGTTACTGTTAGTAATTCAGTTTATGCTCCCCAATTTGGGTGATTGATTTTATATTCAAAATCTTGTGTTTTTATTGTTAGTTATTTCAAGTTGTGTTCTTTAATTTGGATAATTAAAATATCTTGAGTTTATAGATGGTGGTTATTTGGTTGAGCTTGTTTGGAAATTAATTGGTTTTGGTTGAAGTTGGGCTCCAACCATAACATCTGTAAGCTACACCAGTCGGGGTAGGAGGTCTGAACTGACTGTCTGGTGCTTGGATCTCAGACTTACCCACTTTTTGCTTTCTTTTTTCTTCCCGTGTACCCCGTTTTGGTGGAGGGGTTGACTCAGAAGATTCGTTGGAGTTATCACCTAAGATTTTAATCTGAGAAACGAAATGTTGAGGTACTGGTTCCTTAGTTGCTTTTTAAACTTCCTCAACAGGGTTAGAACTAACTCTTTCTTCATCAGGTTGTTCTGTTTGTTCTTTGACCCATTATCTTCAAAATCTTCATCTTGGTTTTCATCCACTCTTACCTTTCTACTAGGGTAAGGAACTAGTTTGTTTGGATGGGCAGTGGGGGGTGAGCAATAGTGGGTGACGTAGGTGTTGGATAAATTTAATCGGGTTGGAGTAGTAATCATGAAGCACGAACTGATCAAGACAATCACGAACTTGGATCAACGAATGGCTTGAACACAATAAATGATATTTACCTATTCTCCTAATAATTTGAGATGCTTCGAAGGTTGATGGCAAATGATTTGTAGGATTTTAACAAGTCTTGACAAGGATTAATCACCAAAGCACAAGTGAAAATCCTTGAAAACTTGAAGAATACAATGGGTGAATATTGAATATGAATTTAAAAGACTTTGATCTTTGGTTTTGGAAGTAATATGGAATCTTGATGTTTTGTAATGTTTTGCCTCCAACATGGATTCACTATTTATATGTATAAACCATCTGTATGAAATGATGCCAAAATATGAGTCAAAAGTCACTAAGTTTGAATTCACAACGGCTAAAAACTGCCAGCAAATGGTCGGATTTATGTACCATGCGACCACATGGCAGTTAAACTCAAATCAGGCCTCTAAGTTTCGATAGGTCCTTGTACGACCGCAAGGTTATATGCCTGTGCGATCTTACAGGCCACACTCGGGGCTACCAATTCCAATTTCATTCCAACTTCTGCTTCCACACATTGATTTATTGATGTTGAACAACAATTCTCAAGAATCCCACACTTGTTCAATATTCAATAAAATCTCACATTCAATGAATACGATACTCATGCCTAAGGATTAGATATCTTTCGATTTGAATCTAATCATAGTGTAATTCTAACAAAGTAAAGTCGAAACCAAAGGTGGCCGTAGCTTTGAACCAGTTATTACATGTGATAATACCAATAAGAAAACATACACGAATACCACGTGTTCTCAAGTTTCCCAGTTTCTTTTAGCCCTTTTATGGCCTTGCGCTTATCCTTTTCAATAAACTTTTAAGAGAGAAACTTTAACTCTCTATTGAGGCGGCACCACCTCGAAGTTTGTTTAGGTAAAGTTCTTCCAACATCTTTGTTACTTTTTTAGAAATGCTTGTGTTTTAGCACTAAACTTTATTAAGAGTTCAAGGCTCAACCAGCATTGTTTACTTAGGATAGGATTATTGTGGATTTGTATAATGCTACAACTATCTACTTATCAAATGACTTATTGTTATCCTTTGAACTCGTGGATTACCTTTCGAGAAATGACAGGTAGGGTTGCCGTCATTGGTGGATCTTTTTAGTTTAGGAGTTTCAATCCCATTCTACTCGAAGTAGATGCCACTAAATAGAAATTTAGTGGTTTAGTTAAAGAATCCATTAGATTCTTAATAGACTTGACATAATTTAGGGAAATTATTCCATCTTTGATTAATTTCTTTATGTAGTCATGTCTTAGACCCATATGTCTAGACTTTCCATTGTATACTTCATTTTATGCCTTGACTAACGTGGCTTGATTATCACACATGATAGGTATTGAAGAAATGTCCTTTGATCCCAAAGATATCTCATAAAAGAGATCCTTAAGCCACTCAACCTCTTTCCGGTATTTGATAGGGTTACAAATTCAGATTCCATGGCCGAGTGTGTTATACATGTTTGTTTCTTTGATTTCCAAGAAATAGCACCTCCTCCAAGAGTGAAGACCCAACTGGAAGTGGATTTACTCTCACCAGTGGTAGATATCCAACTAGCGTCGGTAAATCTTTCCAATACCGTCGGGAATTTAGTATATTGCAGGCCCAAGTTTTTAATTTGCTTTAAGTATCCAAGAACTCTTTCAATAGCCTTCCAATGATCATTACTCGGATTGTTAGTAAATCTGCTAAGTTTACTTATAGCATAGACTATGTTCGGTCTTGTGCATTGAACTGCATACATAAGACTTCCTATAACACTAGGATATTCCAATTGAGCAATCGCCCTTCCATCATTCTTTACAAGTTTTAAACTTGGATCAGTTAGGGTACTACATTCATTTGTGTTCAAATGTTTCAAATTATTTATCACATTCTCGATGTAACGTGATTGATTTAGATGGTAATCCCCACTAGTCTTTGTAACTTTGATACCTAAAATGGTATCCACCAGTCCAAGATCCTTCATCTTGAATGTGTCAGATAGAAACATCTTTGATTCTTTTATACCGTCCATGTGATAACTCACAATCAACATGTCGTCAACATATAAGCATATAAATATCACATAATTATTACAAACCTTAGAGTATAAACATTTATCTACGCTATTATGTTTAAACCCGAATGGTATTATGGCTAAGTCAAATTTTTCATGTCATTTCTTAGTTACCTGTTTCAGACCATATAAAGATTTTACCAACTTGCACACCTTATGTTCATTTTCAGGTAGGGCAAACCTTCGGGTTGTTCAATATAGACCTCTTCATCGAGATCTCCATTTAAAAATGTCGTCTTGACATTTATTTGATGAACATGCAAGTCATATATTGAAGCTAAAGAGAATAATATCCTTATCGATGTTGTTCTAACTACCGGTGCATAAGAATCAAAATAGTCAATTCCTTCCTTTTGTTGATATCATTTGGCTATCTATCTAGCCTTGAAAGTATTTAGGGACCCATCAACATTATATTTTCTCCTATATACCTATTTGTATCCCATAAGTTTGGATCCTGGTGGTAAATCGAGAAGTTCCCAAGTATTGTTGGATATTATCGAATCCATTTCGTTCTTAATTGCATTCTTCCAAAAGACGTTGTCACGTGAAGCCATAGCTTCTTTATAAGTTTTAAGGTCGATTTCCACTTGTAGAACAAAAGGAATTGTTCTCACAACATTCAACTCGTTTCTCTCTACTAAGTAAGAGGAGATAAGTTGAGAATCGATTTCATTCGGTTCTAAAGACTTCTCAACCTGACTTCTTTTGCTTCTTCTTGGTTCACTAAATTTATCAACATCTTTAGAAGATATTTCATCATATGTTCCACTGGAGCGAGGGATATTTTCAAGATTTTTCCTCAATTCATTATCTAAATATAAGAATTCTCAAAGAACTCCAAATCGTTGGATTCGATAACACATTGGACTCCAAATTCAGCAATCTATAAGATTTGCTATTGTTTCCATATCCAACAAAGGCACATTTAATGCCTCTTGGACCCAATTTGATCCTATTAAGATTTGTGCTCTTACAATAAGCAAGACGTCCCCACATTTTGAAGTATCCAATGTTCAATTTTCTTCCTTTCCACAATTCATAAGGAAAACCTTAGTATATTTTGAAGGAATTCTATTAAGTATTCTACATGCACTTAATAAGGCTTCACCCTACAAGTTAAATGGCAACTTAGCATAAATAAGCATGGCATTAATCATTTCAACTAAGGTTCTATTTTTTCTTTCAACCCAGACGTTTTGTTCGGGTGTCCTAGATGCAGAATATTGATGAATAATTCCATGTTATTCACAAAATAAGTTAAAATTGCTGGAAAAGTATTCACCACCTCTATCACTCCTTAAAATTTTAATTTTTCATTCCTAAATAATTTTCAACTTCATTCTTGTATGCCTTAAATATGTCAAACGCCTCACTTTTATGTTTTATCAAATAAACATATGTATATCTAGAAAAGTCATCTATAAAAGTTATGAAATATTTATTTCCACATCTAGTTAACATGCCATTTAATTCATATATATCCATATGAATTAATTCCAAGATACTAGAGGTCCTTTGAACACTTTAATATAGCTTTTTAATCATTTTAGATTATACACATATTTTACATTTGTGTTCATTATTTTCATCATATGAAATCAAATTACATTTTTTCATATGTTTCATAATACTTTTACCAATATGTCCTAATCAACATGCCATAATGAAAATAAATCAACAGCATAAGCAAAATTAGTTTTATTTATTTCATTGTCAATGGTACATAGTTTGATCATTCCTTCACAAGAATAGCCTTTTCCAACAAATTTTGCGTTAAGGGATAATATAAGTTTACCGGACTCATAAACACATATGATGCCCGATTTTCCCAAGAGATTATCACTACTTGGGTTCCTATTCATAACTGGAACATATAGTACATTAGTTAGAGTAACAGTTTTTGCAGAGGTGAAGATAATGTCTACACTTCCTTTTCCAAACACCTTGGACCGCATCTCATTACCCATTTGAATCTCTTATTCTCCATCCACTTTTGGATAAATTTTGAACAAAGATTTATCATATGACACATGTATCGTAGAACAAGTATCATACCACCACAGGGGAACCTTTCCTTTGATTGCATTCACTTCATTTAAGGTGGCCACAATTTTGTCATCTTGAATGGAATTCACTTTCGACTCGAAATTGTTTTGTTTTTGGTGCCTACAATCATTGCATAGTGACCAAATCTCCCACACATAAAACAACCTCCTTTTATCTTCTTCTTGGACTTGTTGAAATTCCTAGAAAGCTTCCTTTTGTTGGATTTTGCTGACGGTTCTATTTTCTCCACAACATTTGGTTTAGAAAAGCCCTCATTTAAAATTTCAGTTTTATCACGTATTCTCGACTCCTCTTCGATTCGAAGATGCTTTTGCAATTGTTCCAAAGAATAATCTTCGCAACTATGCATAATCTTCAACCGGTATCCTTTCCAAGTTTCAGGAAGTTTGGCAATAATAACCCCCACTTGAAAGATCTCCAGTATATCAATTTTCACCGCCTTTAATTTATTGACAATAATTTGCATTTCATGTATTTGGGATAAAAGGGGAATATTGTCCAACAACTTAAAATCAAAATATTTCGAAATATAAAATTTCTTGGTACCTTCTTCCTTCGCTTTATATTTGTTTTCCAATGCTTCCCAAATTTCTTTGTTCGATATTGTGTTTATATATAAATCGTACAAACAATCAGAAAGTGCGTTGAGAATCTGGCCACGAGAAATTAGTTCATCTTCTTGGCACTTCTGTCTTTCATTCCTAACAGCTTCCACCTCTCCATTCATTAGTTCCGATAGTGGCGCAATATCCGAATCTAGGATGTAGAAGATCTTCAATGCAGCGAGAAGAAACTTCAATTTGTCTTTCCATCGAGTGTAGTTCGTTCCATCAAACCGATCCAACTGCACCCAAGTCTTGATTCATGAGTTTGATTGTCGCTATCATTGTCTCTCTTTCCATCGCAGAAATATCATTTGAGATTGTTGGATAAATTTCATTGGGTTGGAGTAGAAATCACGAAATATGAACCCACAACACCAAGATCAAGACAATCACGAACTTGTATCAACGAATGGCTTGAACATGATATCGTTGTCCTCAAACGATATTTGCCCCTTCTCCTAATACTTTAAGATGCTTTGAAGGTTGATGGCAAATGGTTTGTAGAATTTTAACAAGCCTTGACAAGGATTAATCACTAAAGCACCAGTGAAAATCCTTGAAAACTTAAAGAATACAAAGGATGAATATTGAATATGTATTTAAAAGACTTTGATCTTTGGTTTTGGAAGTAATATGGAATCTTGATGTTTTTGATATGTTTTGCCTTCAACATAGATCCACTATTTATAGACATAAACCATCTGTACAAAATGGTGCCAAAATATGAGTCAAAAGTCACCAAGTTTGAATTCACAACTGCTAAAAACTGCCACCAAATGGTCGGATTTATATACCATGCAGTCGCATGGTTAAACTCAAACTGGGCCTCTAAGTTTCTGTAGGTCCTTGTGCAACTGAAAGGTTATATGCCTGTGCGGTCGCACAAGCCACACTCGGGGCTACCAATTCCAATTTCATTCCAACTTCCACTTCCACACATTGATTTACTGATGTTGAACAACAATTCTCAACAGTAGGATCCTCTAGAGATACATGTTCAAGAGTCTTTACTGGCGCTTCATAAGACAAATAGACCATAGACATGTTAAGCCCAGACTGTACAGCCTTTAAGGATTTTTGGGCAACACCAGTGTTGAGCTGATTTCACGAACTTTTGTGTAAATCCCCTCGAGCACCAGTAAAGGTGGCGCTGGTGGACAATTCTCCTTGCCCATTCCTTCCCTTGTTAGCCTTGGTCCTTGCTACTAATTTCTAAAAAATGGAGCTCGAAACAGGGAAAATGTAAATCAAATGCGAAGGAAGATTTAGAACAATGTAGTATAAGATGAAGAGAATTGGCCCCTAACTGTCAAAGTTTTAAAAAAGGGAAAATTTTAGTTTATAAAAATTGCACCGATGGTAACTGCACAATGAGGACGTGTGCAAGAGTAGTGGAAAAATTGCTTTTGAACAGTTATGCAATAACTGCTCACTACCTTAATTATTACCCTTTTTTCCACCTTAAATTCTAGGTTCAATGTTTTGCACATTCATTCTAATTAATGTAAATCTATCCTTTCAAATTTTACACGGGCTTTATTTTTAAAACTAGTGATCAATTTTCCCTTTTTACCAATGAATGTGTGATTTTACTACCCAATTTAGATTGTTGATCTGAAAATCTGCGAAAAAGCTCACACATTAATCACATTGAATAAGTGGAAGTCAAAAGTAGAATTAACATAATCTTCATACTTTTGACAAAGTTCATAATTCATCAATTTACATGATCAGTCCAAAATCTACAGAATAATCGAGAATCTTCCAATTAGATGTCTGTACATAATTAGATTTAATTAACTTTTCAGATTGTTATTGAGCGTGTGATAACAATCTAAATCAGTCAATTATAACACGTACCCTAACCAGGGTTGGTCCTGGACTGAGGTCACTGAGGCCTGCGCCTCAGGCCCAAAACTATAGGGCGCCTAATTTTTGCCCAATAAATTTTTTTTTTTTTAGAAGAAGGCCAACTGGCCCAAAGGGCCAAAACCAATTATCCAACAAGCCCATAATCAATTTACCTTTTAAATCTATTTACCCAACCCAATTTACATATCCACAATCCAATCCAATTCAATTAACCAAAAATTCCCAAAATCTGAAATACAATAAAAAATGGAAAAAAAATCGTATTTACCTATCAACTTAATAATATTTTATGATATACTACCATAAATATTTATATATCATATATAATATATATTACATAAAATGTCACTTTTAAGTGGCCCAATAATAATCCCATGGCCCAAGAGTTCTAATTGGTCCAAATAGTCTCCTCAATTTATTTATTTTTTAATAATTAAGCTAGATGTACATCCTTGTTGACAACAAGGATGGCATCCTCCCCTACGTAGAGGAAATATGTACAATGATATGATGGAAGGATTGAAAATTCAGAGTGTAGATCTTGCCATATGAAAGAGTATAAATGAAGGTGGATAATAAAGTATACATGTAACAAGATTGTTTTCTTTTTTTCTATTTTTTTTTTAAATTATTGACAGCTAACTCACACATTAGCCTACAAAGTTGAGCGACTATCATTACTTGTCATTATCAAATTTAATGCTCATATCAATAATGCTTCTTGTACAAAGGAAGCTTACAAAATGGGTTGACAAATACACGTGGGTGGCCGAGATAAAAAGCATTTGGACGACTGTGATTTTAAAGAGAGAGGTGGGAATTAATGGCGCCAAAAATCAGAAACTCTGCTGTAAATCTGTAATAATAGTCAACTTCTTCAACATACAGCTGTAGCAAAACTCCAAAAATATTCACAACAAAAATCCAACATTTTCTCGAATGACTTGTAGCAAAAATCCAATATTTTGAGGAACAATACATTAAAAATATAATTTGAGGAAAAAATATGTATAAAGTACAGAAGATGAAATATTTTTGAGTAATTTTTTCATGAAAGAAACTGTACACGTAGCCCACAAATTATAACTTTTACTAATAATTCAGAATTTAATAAAAAAACTATGGATTTTATTATTCCCCTAAATCACAAATAACTACCTCCAACGTGTTTCTTTTACCGGTAAATTTTTACTTGCTAATTTGACATAAATATGAAAACAGTTATGATAAATAATAATAATAAATTTATTTTAATTAAATAAGTCCAATAGCCCAATCTTAGACTATTAAGTATTCACGTGGCTTGTGTGTGGGGGTAGGTGGACAAAAAATTTTCAACCTTTTTTCACTCGGCCAATGGTCCCATTTAATTATTTCTTTGATATATATATCTAACAGTATTCACTTAACACATCAAAACAAAATTCATCTACCACATTTCCTATTGTGGGGTAAAAAATCAAAATGTTAAAACCAACCAAATCAAACAAATTTCACTTCATCTATTAGGGCATGTTTGATTGCATTTATTTTTCATGAAAAATATCAGTTTTGCACCTAAATTCCTACTTTGAGTGTTTGATTTCTATTTTTTTCATTGAAAATATTTTTCAACTTCTCAAAACATTTTGTTTTCTAGGCAATATTTTTCATGTCAATCAAACACACTCTCAATGTCACCAACAGTTTTCCATAATTTCAACAAAAATGATAAATAAAATAAGGATTGTTACTTAAATTCTTTAACCTTAGTAAGAATTTCAAAACCTATATTTCAAACATTCTGTCAAAATCAATTGCAACGTTAAAATCTCATGCCTTCCATCATGAATAATAACAAAGAAAAGCAAAAAGAGAGAAAACTGAATATAAAACCAGTACATTAAACAAAAAAATTAAAACTATAAAATTCCATACCCAATTGAAAAATGGAGAATAGAGATTGAATATTGGAGAAGAATGATTTACTTAGATTGAATAATAGAGATTAAAATTGGAGATTGATGGAAGGTTTATTTGAGTTGTGTATTCTAAACGTGAGAGAGAGAGAGAGAGAGAGAGAGAGAGAGAGTTAGGGTAAAACTAGAGAATTTTTGAACCAAAAAAAGGTGGGTCTGCCCATGCATCTGCCTATGGTACTATGTTCGCACTGAACAATGGCAATTCATGCTGCTGCTCCTCCGGTGAATGTTCATTGGACGAATTATGGGTAGTTTTACCTCAAAAATTTTTTGGGAGGAAAAGATTTAAGTTGTTATCATATTGGGCAAAAACAGTCCTCTTAAATTCAGAGCATGTTTGGCTAAGCTTAATAAGTTACATATTGATCAAAATTAAAAATTACAAGTTATTTTAGACTGTAAATTAAGAATCACATACATCAGAAAGTATCTTTTTCACTTAATTTTAAGCTTAGCCAAACATGCCAGAATGAAATAGCCTATGCCATGTTAAGTAGTACTTTTGTGGCTGCGTAAAAATTTGAGGATCCATAATCTAAACTTACATGATCATCAACATTAATCAGACCATGCATGTTGTAATACTCCGAAATTTTATGCTCGTTTAAATTTCTTTTAGGATAGCGATTTAACCTTCAATATTCTTTTGGCCATAAGAAAAAGGGGGCACCACCTTTGTAGTGGTTAATGCTAGAGGTAGTTAATGAATGCAGGCATGAAGTGCTAAATGTTGTATATGCATGAAGTGATCTTTAGTTAGTCGAAATATAAGTCAAATTTGGATTTGAATGAAGTAGATTATTTTGTTAGGACTTCAATTAACCAAATGATTAAATTATTTTGTTGGGATTTATTTTACAATCTACAATATTTGAATATGTAAGTTGGATACAAATTTAAATTTGGAATATGCTTTGCTAATAATGAAAGTTAGAGGGATTAGGTTATATTATTTGGAAAATAAGAGACTCCCTTTGTAAATCTAGAATTTGTGGCCACTTATTACCCTATAATCAACCCACTTGTCATGTATCATTACCATACACTTATGCAATAGACCAAACATGTGTAGAAGTAAGAAAAAAATGGGAGATAACAAAAGGTGAGGCGGTGGGGATTAAAAAAAAAAAAGATCAATCCATTATCCTTATATATATATATCTATATAAGGATAATGGATTGATCTTTTTTCCTTCACTTTGCAAAGCAATTATACACACAAATAGAGAGAAAAACCGACAAGAAGGAACGAAAGGAAAGGAAAAGAAAGTAAAGCCTAACACTTTCAATTCATATCTCAATCGAAGTTTCTTCAGGTTTTACGGTAAGATATTTTCTATGCTTAAGGGGTATTATTTTCATGGTAATATTTATGCTTAAGTTATGCATGAAAAGCCATAATATGCATATGGTGGACAAGTCCACAAAGTTAGATATCTATTTATGCCTTAGGACAAGTCCGAAGGGCACCGGCAAGCCGAAAGGTGCAAGTATGTGTTTGATTGCATTCTTTTGTGTAGTTTTATCATGATAAAATTCAAGCATGGTATTTTACTGAGTATTCCTTATACTCATAGTATTTTATACTAAATTTTCATATCCATGATCATTGGATTGATGGAAGTTAGTTGGCAAAAGCGATGATGGGTTAAGGACAAAGATGTTTTGCAGCGAAAGTTTCCTTTTGTATGTTTTGTTCGATGACTGCTTTCCATCTGTTTTTCTTATGGTGTTATATAAAAACATGTATATGACATGATGTAATATGGTATTAAAAGTAAAGTTTGTATTCATATCTTTCATGTTGTGTTAAGTGACATCTTTTAGAAAATTTCTCCTTGCAAGTGACAAAAGGCAGAAA